TATGTCGGATAAGAGCAGACTGTGAAAGAAAAAAAAACGAAAAATAATTGGAATAACTGAGATACTAATATACTAATATACTAATATACTAACAGACTAACGTAACTTATATAGGTTTGTAGTAATTAAGATAAGACGTATTTAAATTATATTTTCAGTTCGGGAAATTACAAATTAAGGAAGGAGGAATGTAATATATTAAGAATGACAATTATGCTAGGGAGTCAGTAGTTCATTGTAGTATGTTATGAATGACAATTGTGCTAGGGAGTCCGTAGATTTTGGGAGTACGGGCAGTCTGGAATAAAGCTTGGACGTGGCCACACGTGTTGCAACAGTGTCTGTCTTTATTGACTCACAAACATTACAGTAAGGGTACCCTTGGGACGCATGCCATGTATTGACATCCCATTCAGGAGAGTGGCAGTGGATATTGTGGGACCCATCTTCCCGATAACTGACAAGGGTAATAGGTACATACTCACCGTAGTAGATTATGCTACAAGATATCCGGAGGCAGTGGCAATGAAGAATATTGAGACTACCACAGTAGCAGAGGCACTGGTGGATGTTTTTTGTAGGGTTGGTGTACAGAGGGAGATGTTGAGTGACCAAGGCTCAGTATTTACATCGGGTATCATGCAGGAGGTGAGCCGATTACTTTCGATAAAACAGTTGACTACAACACCCTACCATCCTGCCTGTAACGGACTGGTGGAGCGTTTCAATGGCACACTGAAGCAAATGTTGAAGAGAATGAGTTCCGAGAGACCCACCACTTTTATTTGCATATCTTGAGGTGCCACAAGCTAGTCTTGGGTTTTCACCGTTTGATCTGATATATGGGAGGAGTGTTAGAGGTCCAATATCCATACTCAAAGAGCTGTGGACTGGCGAGGTAGAAGAGACAGATGTAAGGACCACCTACCAGTATGTTATCGATCTGAGGGAAAGATTGGAAAAGACGTGTGAACTCGCACATGAGAACCTAAAGAAGGCACAGATGAGACAAGAGAAGTTTTACAATAGAAAGAGTAAACCACGTCAGTTTAAGGTGGGTGATTATGTTCTGCTACTACTTCCCACTGATAGTAACAAGCTGTTGCTGCAGTGGAAGGGCCCATTTTCAGTGGTGGCAAAGCTCGGTAATGTGGATTATCAGATTTACATGGGTGGTAAAGTAAAAACATTTCATTCCAATTTACTAAAGTTGTATGTTTGCAGGAAAGCAGAGGATGTAGTTGGCCCAGCAGCCACCAAGGAGAAGGATGATGTGGAGGTGACGGTGCTCAGCACTTCTTGACTCAGAACCAGAACCGGAGCAAGGGCACGAGGCTGTACAACCACATGGTGACTTGTTGACAGTGCCAGTCTTACAGCAAACGCAGATGCTAATGATGTGAAGGTGAGTGACAGCCTTACTTTGGAGCAAGGTGTTGCAGTGAGGCGGCTACTTGCCCAGTACAGTGAAGTACTCACAGATTTGCCAGGGAGGACATCACTATGGGAACATGAGATAAAGTTGACTACATGTGAGCCAATCAGACAGAGACCCTACCCCATAGCACATGCCTTAAAGGATACAGTGAGAGAGGAAATATCGTCCATGTTGCGTCTGGGAATAATAGAGCCCTCTGAATCCCCTTACTCTTCTCCAATAGTCCTTGTGAAGAAAAAAGACAACAGCATCAGGTTCTGCATAGATTTTCGGTCATTAAATGGTATCACAGTTTTTGATGCTGAACCAATGAATGATCCAGATGAAATTTTTGCTTCACTTTCACATGATAATTATTTCAGCAAGCTAGACCTCACAAAAGGGTATTGGCAAATCCCTTTGAAGAAGGAATCGAGGCCAGTAACTGCATTTAAAGCCCCAAATGGTTTGTTTCATTTCTGCATGATGCCCTTTGGCTTGGTAAATGCACAGGCATCGTTCAGCAGGGTTATGCGATTTGGTACTGGATGGAATGAAGAGTGTTGATAGCTTTGTTGATGATATATTGGTTCACACAGCAACTTGGGGTGAGCATCTCGCGACCCTAGATGAAGTCATGGCACGACTTAAAGAAGTGAACCTCACAGCAAAACCAGGTAAATGTGAAATTGGTTTTAAATCTATCAACTTCTTGGGTCATATAGTTGGAGAAGGTCAGCTTAAGCCACAACTTGACAAACTACTGAATATCCAAGAGGCTAAGAGGCCATCAACCAAGAAGCAGCTGCGTTCCTTTCTCGGACTGGCAAACTACTACCGGAAGTTCATCCCCAACTTTGCGGCGATTGCAGTGCCCTTGACGGATCTGACAAAGAAAGGGGAACCTAATTTGATTGGATGGGGCGAGAGTCAAGAGGGCGCATTCAATGCACTAAAATTCCAGCTAACCTCTTCGCCTATCCTTCATCTGCCAGACTGTACCAAGCCGTTCATGCTGCGCACAGATGCATCCAATCTCGGCTTAGGTGCAGTTCTTCTCCAGGAACATGACCATGAAGTTTTCCCAGTAGCCTATGCTAGCCGGAAGCTCCTGCCAAGGGAAACCAGGTATGCTACTATAGAAAAGGAATGTTTAGCGGTTATTTGGGGCGTGCAAGTTTGACGCATATTTGTATGGCCGTATGTTTACTCTTCAGACAGACCACCAATCCCTTGTATACATGCAGAGGGCCAAAATGGTAAATGCAAGGGTGATGCGTTGGGCTTTGGCATTGCAGTCCTACAGGTTTCGTATTGAAGGTATTAAAGGTTCTGAGAATGTTGGGGCCGACTATCTCAGTAGAGTTGAATAGGTACATTTGTGAGGCTCTGATTTCCCTGTGGAAAGTGTATCATGAGTAGATACATTTCTAGAGAGGGGAGTCAATGTTGTAGGAAAATCAGCCTAGTTTTCTGCTATGTAAATGCGAGCTAAATTTATAAATAAAATTGGCCCGACCCTTGGTCGAGCCTAACCAAGCCAAGTGTTGTATTTGCTTTGTACAGCGTATGATGTGGGTATTTGCGTGTGAATGGGAATGTAAGGTTGCATGCGTCTTGCAGGTGGCTTTGTTATGTAAATTCATGTGAGTTGTGTGGTGGCAAGTCAGTACACCACGAGCCGTCGAAGTATGAG